GCTATTCCTATCTCCTATGTTGACACCTTTTCTCATTGATGCATTTGGCTTTGCTTTCCTTCGCTCTGCTCTGCCATGTCTATCCTCTCTCTCTCTCTAGACAGACATACTGTACTGTCATTTCACTGTCTACACCATCACCTGACTATATACGTCCTGCCTAGCTGGGTCACACCTGCATTCATGTGAGCAGGGACATCCAAGCAGAGAGAGATGCACACATTAACCTCCCACCCCTTAACCCCTGGGTAAAATAATAAAGTAATGACATTCTTTATTAAACATATATGGTGATTTTTATTTACAACTTATTTGACAGAGGATGTGCCTTAAAACTCAGTCATTCAACAGATTTCAACGTTACAACCAGATACATCAGCAATGTTATTCATAGGCCTAGATGACAGACGACTCAGACATGTCAAATACTTTTACCAAAAAGACAAAAAAAGCCAACAGAAATGTGAATGTACTCATCTAAACTTGTGAATAATACCAAGCAGTACAACATAGTATGATCTTTACAATTTAATTTTTTCTGTTTAATTATTAAATATATCTAAATTGTACATATTTAATGTACAGTACCAGTCAAAAGTTTGGACACACCTACTCATTCAAGGGTTTTTCTTTATTTTGACTATTTTCTACATTGTAGAATAATAGTGACAACATCAACACTATGAAATAACACATATGGGATCATGTAGTAACCAAAAAAGTGTTAAACAAATCAACATATATTTTATATTTGAGATTCTTCAAAGTAGCCACTCTTTGCCTTGATGACAGCTTTGCACACTCTTGGCATTCTATCAAGCAGCTTCATGAGGTAGTCACCTGAAATGCTTTTACAACAGTCTTGGAGGAGTTCCCACATATGCTGAGCACTTGTTGGCTGCTTTTCCTTCATTCTGCGGTCCAACTCATCCCAAACCATCTCAATCAGTTTGAGGTCGGGTGATTGTGGAGGCCAGGTCATCTGATGCAGCACTCCATCACTCTCCTTGGTCAAATAGCCCTTACACAGCCTGCAGGTGTGTTTTGGGTCATTGTCCTGTTGAAAAACAAATGATAGTCCCACTAAGCGCAAACCAGATGGTTTGGGTTAAGTTGGACCGCAGAGTGAAGGGAAAGCAGCCAACAAGTGCTCAGCATATGTGGGAACTCCTTCAAGACTGTTGGAAAAGCATTCCAGGTGACTACCTCATGAAGCTGCTTGAGAGAATGCCGAGAGAATGCCAAGAGTGTGCAAAGCTGTCATAAAGCAAAGGGTGGCTACTTTGAAGAATCTAAAATCTAAAATATATTTTTGGTTACTACATGATTCCATATGTGTTATTTCATGTCCAAACTTTTGACTGGTACTGTAGGTACAGTGGCTTGCGAAAGTATTCACCCCCCTTGGCATTTTTCCTATTTTGTTGCCTTACAACCTGGAATTAAAATTGATTTTTGGGGGGTTTGTATCATTTGATTTACACAACATGCCTACCACTTTGAAGATGCAAAATATTTTTGGGGGTGAAACAAACAATAAATAAGACAAAAAAACAGAAAACTTGAGCGTGCAGAACTATTCACCCCCAATACTTTGTAGAGCCACCCTTTGCAGCAATTACAGCTGCAAGTCTCTTGGGGTATGTCTCTATAAGCTTGGCACATCTAGCCACTGGGATTTGTGCCCATTCTTCAAGGCAAAACTGCTCCAGCTCCTTCAAGATGGATGGGTTCCTCTGGTGTACAGCAATCTTTAAGTCATACCACAGATTCTCAATTGGATTGAGGTCTGGGCTTTGACTATGCCATTCCAATACATTTAAATGTTTCCCCTTAAACCACTTGAGTATTGCTTTAGTAGTATGCTTAGGGTCATTGTCCTGCTGGAAGGTGAACCTCCGTCCCAGTCTCAAATCTCTGGAAGACTGAAACAGGTTTCCTTCAAGAATTTCCCTGTATTTAGCGACATCCATCATTCCTTCAATTCTGACCAGTTTCCCAGTCCCTGCCGATGAAAAACATCCCCACACCATGATGCTGCCACCACCATGCTTCACTGTGGGGATGGTGTTCTCGGGGTGATGAGAGGTGTTGGGTTTGCGCCAGACATAGCGTTTTCCTTGATGGCCAAAAAGCTCAATTTTAGTCTCATCTGACCAGAGTACCTTCTTCCATATGTTTGGGGAGTCTCCCACATGGCTTTTGGCGAATACCAAACGTGTTTGCTTATTTTTTTCTTTAAGCAATGGCCACTTTTCTTTTCTGGCCACTCTTCCGCAAAGCCCAGCTCTGTGGAGTGTACATCTTAAAGTGGTCCTATGGACAGATACTTCAATCTCCGCTGTTGAGCTTTGCAGCTCCTTCAGGGTTATCTTTGGTCTCTTTGTTGCCTCTCTGATTAATGCCCTCCTTGCCTGTTCCGTGAGTTTTGGTGGGCGGCCCTCTCTTGGCAGGATTTGTTGTGGTGCCAGATTCTTTCAATTTTTTTATAATGGATTTAATGGTGCTCCGTGTGATGTTCAAAGTTTCTGATATTTTTTTATAACCCAACCCTGATCTGTACTTCTCTACAACTTTGTCCCTGACCTGTTTGGAGAGCTCCTTGGTCTTCATGGTGCCGCTTGCTTGGTGGTGCCCCTTCTTTGTGGCGTTGCAGACTCTGGGGTCTTTCAGAAGAGGTGTATATATATATTGAGATCATGTGGCAGATCATGTGACACTTAGATTGCACACAGGTGGACTTTATTAAACTAATTATGTGACTTCTGAAGGTAATTGGTTGCACCAGATCTTATTTAGGGGCTTCATAGCAAAGGGGGTGAATACATATGCACGCACACTTTTCCGTTATTTATTTTTTTGAATTTCTTTTAACAAGTTATTTTTTTCATTTCACTTCACCAATTTGGACTATTTTGTGTATGTGCATTACATGAAATCCAAATAAAAATCCATTTAAATTACAGGTTGTAATGCAACACAATAGGAAAAATGCCGAGGGGGGTGAATACTTTTTGCAAGGCACTGTATAGGCCTTTTTACATACAAGTTATTTTGTACAGAGTTTAATGCAATAACAGATCCACAGGTTATCTTACACTTACTTCTCGCTCGCTCGCACACACACACACACACTTTTTACAGGTTATTTTACATGACGAAGTTCTTTGGTGTAGAACTCCAACATGGGACGGAACGTTTGATTATGCTGCTGTTTGAAAGCTGGATGACTGATTGATTGATTGATTATTTTGTTTCATTTATTATCTTTAACGCTTTAACTAAACCTCACAGCTAAATCAATGACATCAAAAAACAAGTTTCCAGGACAAATATAGTTAGAATGGTATTCGATTGAAGCAGTCCATTTCTTACTTGTAACAAGCCAACGCAATGTGTGTTTGTGTGTGAGAGAGAGAGAGAAATGGGGTTGGGGACTAGAGTGGTGACAGACAGATAGGATCCTAAGGTTATTGCTCTAAAGACATAGAATGACGTAGAGATCTAGCAATGTAAGTTTACTAACAGTATCAGTTGAGAAAATAACAGAATAAAAACTTGTATTGAAAATGAGCATCCCTCTCTCACTCTCTCTCCCTCTGCCACTCCCTTCTTCCTAAATCCATGGACGTATTGATGTGTGATGCTGGTGTTTAGCAAGAGAGGGATGCAGTGTGGGGTGGGGGGGGGGTTCGAAACATATGAAAGGCCCTTAAATACAGAGACTTGAGTGTAGACGAGTGATACTTGACTGTTCTACCCAAAACACACCACAATCCCAACCCCCCCCGGCATACTTCATATCCACACCTTGGTTAGTAGAGTTGGTGGATGGAGGGGGGGGGGGGGTGGATGGATGGATGGTAGAATTGGTGGATGGTGGGGAGGGGGGGTGGATGGATGGATGGATGCATTTCCGTGCTGCTTTCTTATGTCCATGGTTTAGTGTTGAGGGACGGGCTGGGAAGTGGATGCATTCAACTAACTGAAAGAGAAAATGTCCAAACATCCCAATGGTTCAGGTGCAAGCTGGAGCGAAACAACATAGGCTTCCCACAATGACTGATTTGGGAGTCACACATATCACTGTGGGGAGCATCAGAGCTGCAGACCTCGTTCCATTTCCCTGTGTGTTCAGCCAGCTCCCATGTTGTGTATGTCTGTAGTGTTCTAGTGAAGAAGGCACTGAGTTGTGAGCGCTGTTGATAATAGCACAATACCTGCCATGCCCAGACTGACAGCCAGCCTTGGTATCCATGGTTACAGTATTCTGTGTTCTACAAGCAGAATGCTTTAGTTTTAGAGTCGCTAGATGATTCTATTATTGTCTGTTCTTGTTGTTTACACTCCTCCTCCTCCTCTTCTCTCTACCTTCAAAGTCTGATTCGTGGTGGGGTTGAAGGGTAAAGGGTGGCTGCCCTTGGTAACAACAGGTTGTAGTTGGTGCAGCGAGGAGTGTCTGTTTCTAGATGGAAAAGTGAGGGGGGTTGTTAAGAGGACTGAGTCCTGGTTTGGGGTAGGAGGGTATTGTCATCCCTAAAAGCTTGTCTCCCATTTAAATATGGCTGTAGGGTTAGAGTTGTGTGTGTGTATGCTGATGACTGTGTGTATTGGGAGCCTATAGGCTGGTCTCTCGCAGGAACATGGTACCAATGCTGTAGGACACTTTCCTCAGGGGAGCTGGGGGGGCGGAGCGAGAGCTGGTCAGGGAGGCGCGGCTATGGGAAGTCCCCCCCTCCAGGAAGTAGCATGTTCCTGGGATATCCTTCGGAAAATTATCAGGAAGCTCCAACCGGGAACGAGGGACGAAAGAGAAAGAGCAATCGTCTTTCAGCAGCCTGGAGAGAGGGGAGAGAGATTTTAAAACTCAAGTGTGGTATATTTGGGGATTTCTCCAAACAGCAGTGACTCTCCAGGGAGTGATGCAGCCTTGTTCAGAATGAGATAAGGCCAATAACAAACACAGGCATTATTCACAAGCTACAGGTGTGTGTTTCTGC